TTTGCCGTGGGGAGGAGGCGATGTGTGTGTGTGTTTGCGGGATGGGAACTGCTTTACTGGAAGATGGGACACTGTGGATGCACGTAAGAGAAGGAAGCAAGTGTTGCAATCTGGCAGTGGTGACTAAAGAGCACAAGCTGAAACTCCAGGCTGGATTGAGTTGAACATAGATTTATGAGGGTGTGACTGGGTGCATTTATTTGTGCTGGCTTTCCCAAGGAGGTATCATTTCAAAGCAATCTACCATATAGCGGCCGGCTAGCCTTCCTGGTCCCCATAGAGGAAAAAAGACAGAATCTAAAAAGATGGCTCCTTAGTTTTGACTCAGAGTATGGTTATTAGAGTCTTGTTCTTTGCAGCTGTCTATGGATGGCCTGGTTGTGTCTGACATCAAGGATACCAGACAGTAAAGGAGAGGACTTAAAATTTGCATGTCAGTAACATATAGACGGAGCAAGTTATATTTGTGCAGTATACACACACAAATGTAACAAGTAAAGAAAAAGAAGCCTTGAATTGAGAGCAAGGTGTAGGAGGGAACATGGGAGGGTTTGATGAACGGAAAGGAGAAGGGAATGGATGTGATTTTATTATAATCTCAAAATAGAAAAATTATATAAAAAAGAAATGGGAACTATGAGAGGTGATGGACATCCCCTGCAATGTTGATGATCAATATGTAACATGTCTCTGTGTGTGTTGAAATATCACATTGCACACCATAAATATGTGTAATCAATATTCCAACTAAAAATAAAAAGAAAGTAAGAAAAATTTGCAATGTACTTTTTTCTAATGCAGAAGTGCACAGATTCAAAATGCACAGCAAAACCCTGTTGTAGAGCTGGGAGTACAGCTCAGTTGCCCCAGTATGCACAAGAACTCTGGCTTCAGTCCCCAGCACTGCATAGACAGGGTGTGGTAGTGCACTTGGGAGCAGTCCTGAGGACTGGGAGTTCAAGGTCAGCTTCTGGGAGTTCAAGGTCAGCTTTTGGGAGTTCAAGGTCAGCTTTAGTCAGTTGTTCTAGGCTAGGGTTACTAGGGTAGATGGGCTTGAAATATGGGAGCCTGAACATGGCTTCTTCATTTTCAGCTGGGTCGTGGAATTTCCGAGATAGGTGGAATATTTTTGGTTCTAGTGTCCCGCAAATGATGTACAGATGGCCCTGTGACAGTCATGCCAGGAGAGCACTCGGTCCCCCTGCTGCCTTCTCTCTGCAGACAACGTCACCAGCTGCTGTGGCGATGCCAGAGGACACATTTCAACCTCTTAGGTCCTTTTAGAAGACCAGACACCTACCCACTCCTTCCTGCTCAACTCCAGACTCCTCCAGGTCCTAGAAAATGCAGTGATGAGGCCACTGGCCATTGCTGGCCACTGGCTTGTTCTTTCCACCCTCAGCATATATATGTTGTCCTGTTTTCCCTCCCTCTTCATCTCCTTGTCTGATGTCTGACAAGCAGGCCAGCTAGCTCCTTTCCAGGCCTTTGTATTTGATGCCTCTCATCTTCATAGGCGGGCCTCATTCCCTACTCAGTCTCCTCTGTCCTCTGAGATGCTCTTTGGTCCTCTGGAGGTTTCCTCACTATGCCTGCTGCCCAAGTGTCCCTCGCCATTTCCCTTCCCTGTTTATGCCCCCTTTACTACTGCATCTCTTTCTGTCTCTCTACTTTTTTCCATCCATGATAACATTAGTCTTGGGGACCTAGGAAAAGAGGTGGAAGAAGGGAAGAGAAATTTCTGAATCTGTCCCCTTCTGCCTCTGGGTAATTCTTAGCAACTTTCTCACATCAGAGCCCTAAGGCTTGTTCAGAGCCCTTACAGCAAAATCCTACCTGTGCTCACCCACCTGGTTCTGGGAACAAAACATTCCTCCTCATACCTGTTTTTGCCACCTCTACCTGGCTATTGAACAAATAAAAGAGTGGACATGGGCCTGGTGACAGGGCTCACACAAACCAGTTCTCTAGGATCTATCTCTCAACAGGAGGACAGGACATTAATTCTTCACGTTGGCTAGTGAGATACTGCTCAGGACATGACCAAAACCACACTAAGACTATGGTTTACAGAATGCAGTTGAAGGTGCTTTGACAGACCACATTCTCAGCACCACTGTGCAGAGCTTACCTGCAGGAAGCTCTCTTGGCAGCAGAGGAACTTGTTATTCTTCATGATGGCCTCAGTGGTCTTGGAGACCTTGTTTTTACTAAGAGCAGGTTCGTTTGACATGGAGACACTGCCTGAGCATAGAAAGGACATGGTGTTACATATGCCTGGCAAGGGGTGAGAGAGTGTACTAGGGGATAAAAACTCAGTGAGATTTTAGCATCCTGTGACTCTCTTTGCTAACAAACTCTACACTCCACTTTTCATGTGGTAATGATAAACTGATACTCAGTATTATGTTTGTTTGTCTGAGACAGTCCTAGGTAGCTCAGGCTGACCTCCAGCTCACTATGTATTGGAAGGTGACCTTTAACACAGATCCTCACCCCTCTCAGGTGACAGGATTACATGTGTGCACTATCATGCTCATTCAGGAATCCCCACCTTGTTTAAAGAGTTCCACTACTAATCCATGAGTTTGGATCTATTACTTGCCAACTCTACTACAACATGAATTCTTTAAAAAAAAAAAACACAGTGTTGTAGCCAGACCTCATGGTCCACCCTGTCATCTCTGCTACTTGGAAGGACCAGGCACATAGATCACAGTTCAAAGTGCCTGGCTGCTAAAGTTTTAAGTTCTCTGGGCCTTTGCATGATCATTCCATTTTTTTTAAGCTCCCTTCTCTGGCATTTACAACACAGCGTGCCATAGAAGGACCCTCAAGGTTGCCCTCATTCTACAGAGCACTATTTAGTTTGTTCTTAGCACTGAGAGTAGGGCTTCCCTGTTGTATGCACATCTGGAATTTTATCTCATGTGCTCTGAAGGTACTTTCCTGCCATTTTCCTTGGGTTTTATATTCTGCACAGGATTACACTATACATACTGTCCAGAAGAGGGCGCTGAAATCACACTGTGGAGTCAATGCAAAGCCCGACTCTGGGCAGTGTGTGGCCATCTGATCTGCAACAAGACATTGGCCAGTATGTTGTTCAGGTTCAAATGTAGTGCGAAATCACCTGCTGGAGGGGTTTCTGAACCTGCTTGCACCCTGTGTGAGGGAAACAAAACCACCTAGTAGGTGATAACCTGTAGGGCCACAGCAACTCTCCCAACTCCATTGTACAGAATAGGGTCGGCACCCCTCCCAAAGACACTCAGAAAAGCTGGGTTTGTGCCTCTCACAGCAGCAGCATGAAGAACTGAGTATCTGGCAAGACACACAACTCTTGACAGTGGACCAAAGCACCGCTGTGCACTACCCAGACTGTGGAGCACTACAGTCATCAAGTACCAGGGAGGGACAGGAGGGATCTAGGTGTAGTGATTGAACCAGGAGAGGAGAGAAAATCATGACAGGGATGGTGATTTACACAACCAAAACTACACTTAGGGAGAGAGAGAGAGAGAGAGAGAGAGAGAGAGAGAGAGAGAGAGAGAACACTTTATATGGCATTTATAGTATAAGAGGCCATGCACAAGTGGGCTGGTATCTTAAAGGCTACTGGCTGAAGGAGTTCCTACAGCACCATAAAGAAGCTGCTTTCAGGTCAATGTCTTAACAGATTATAGCCAGGCTGGAAAAGATATATTATGAGAGAGTAGGCAGAAGCCACGTAGCCACCTGCAGGAGACAGACACCTTTGCTGGAGCTCACTGGAGTCTTGCAGGTAAGCCACAGACATATGGCAATACAGCGATTAATAGAAATGGGTTAGTTTAAGATATAAGAGTTAGTCAGAAATACTTAAGCTATTGGCCAAGCAGTATTGCAAATAATATAGTTTCTGAGTGATTATTTTGTAATCTGGACAGCCAGAAATGAACAAGCGGCCTCTGCCAACAACACTGCACAGAAATTCCTATCTGTGGGAGCCAATAGGGTAACCTGCCCTGTGAGGTTGCAAATAACTTGGGAAGCTGGGTGCACCCTGAACCTAAACCATAGCCCATGGAGCAAGGCCTTCACAGGACGCAGGGTGGGTTGTCAACTATAAGGGCCCTGATTCTCCATCTAAAAAATGAAGTAATAACACTTAGTGGATGAGGACAGTGGGTAAAGGTCAACACTGATGTGAATGACCTGACATCTGAGCCTTGGTAGCAAGAAACGGTTCCCAGCCAGTGATGTGGACTGCCCTCTCTGCCCTTCACTGAAGTGGGCATGACACTGCGCTGGCCCCATGGGTCATCGATGCCTTCTACCTGATTATTGGTCACCGAAGTTCATACAAACACAAGATCCCTGCCATTCCCAGCAGGCATTTTTTTTACTTTATGTTTGTGGACATGGAACAGGGCAACACAGGGACTCCTGCTGTTGAGTCAGTATTCACAAGACTCCTTTCTAGCTGGAGAAACTGAGTCAGCATAGGGCTGTTTAGAAGCTGGGCAGTCTGAACACAAGGCTCTTCCCAGTTCCATGGCTTTGAACATATGAGTGGAAAAGGCTGACCTGTGAGTGGAAAAGGCCCTGGCACCCATGTAATCAGGTGACCAAGTGCAATTACTCCCATCATGGTACTATGATCTGGGGACACTGGCCTCAACTGAGGATCAGTGTCCACTTCCTACCAGGCACCCAGAAATGCCATACATTTCTGCCAGGTCATCTAGAGCCCCGAGAGGTGTGCTAAGCATCAGCGTAGTAAGGGGTGGCAGACAGAGTGTCTCAGGACAACTAGCCATTGTGCATTGTGTGAGAGGACTCAATTTCCATACAGTGTGTGGCTCCCCTTCTTGCTGTGGCCTTCTGAGCCTCAGGCCATCGTGCACCCCTCAGCCTTTGCACTGGTGTCAGACATCACCGACTAACTCCTGCATTCTTCTAACGCATTAGGACCTCACCCAAACACCTATATGTTCATTTAGGAGTCCTTGTCTACACTTTTCCAACTTGGATCCTAAGTTTTCCAGGGCAGGAACAGGGTCTCTGTCCTGGCAAAGCCTTCTCTGATCCCTCAGCAAGACAAGACCCTTGCCATGCCTTCTATCTACAAATAGGAATCTGGTTGTGAAAATACCTAGATGCTCGGCAGCAGCGATAGACAACATCAGTGCGTATGCACGGAGGTTCCGGGGCGCGGGAGGGCGCTGGTGCTGCGAGGAGTCGCCGATGGTCGGGCCCATGGGCTCTCACGAGGCAGCTCATGGCTTCCGGCCACGTAGGCCCACTCAAGATGTTGTACATGCTCCCGCATCTGCACAATGGCTGGCAGGTAGACCAGGCCATCCTGTCGGAGGAGGACTGCGTGGTCGTCATTCGTTTCAGACACGACTGGAACCCCACTTGTATGAAGATGGACGAGGTTCTGTACAGCATCGCCGAAAAGAAATGGAAGATAGTGGGAGATCTTTCTCATCTTGTGTGAAGATATCCCAGCTGTTTTAAAGCAAACGGTGTTGGTGTCGCTTGTGCTCCTGGCATCCTCTGTGGTTCTCGAGCCTGACAGGCCTATCTGCTGCCAATATGAACATATGCCGTGCTCGGCCCGACGACCTGATGAACATGCCGCACTGCAACCTGCTGTGCCTTCCCGAGAACTACCAGATGGAGTACTACTTCTACCACGGCCTCTCTTGGCCCCAGCTCTCCTACATTGCTGAGGATGAGGATGGCAAGATCGTGGGCTATGTCCTGGTCAAGATGGAGGAGGACCCCGATGATGTCCCTCATGGACACATCACCTCACTGGCTGTGAAACGTTCCCACCGGCACCTCGGCCTGGCCCAGAAGCTGATGGATCAGGCCTCACGGGTCATGATCAAGAACTTCAGTGCCAAGTATGTATCCCTGCACGCGAGGAAGAGCAACAGGGCGGCCCTGCACCTTTATTCCAACACCCTGAACTTCCAGGTTAGTGAGGTGGAGCCCAGGTACTGTGCAGATGGAGAAGATGCGTACGCCATGAAATGAGATCTCTCCCAGATGGCAGAGGAGCTGAGATGGCAGCTGGTGCTGAAGAAGGGCAGATACGTGTTCTGGGTTCCAAGGAGAATCAGGGCAGCACACTTCCTGGTTCTGAAGAGGCGTGTCAGCAGAACCTGGCCGGAGATGACAGTTGCAGTGACAGCAAAGACAGTGCTGACGTCCAAGACAGTTTGCAAGACTTGGATTCCACCTCCTAGAGCTTGCTCAAGCATTGTAGGTTCTTGCATTTTAGCCACAGTTTTCTTGGGAACCCTGGCTCTGCTCTGCAGTATCTACTCTGGAGTCACCCACAGTGACCCAAATGGCTTCTCATTGTCAGCGCTTAGCATCAGCCTTTCACATAACCTAATCATGAAGGCACTCCAGGACACAGAAGCTGCTGTGCAGGAGCCACGGAGCTTTGAGGACTGCCATGGCAACACCGTCCTTGGCTTCTCCCATGCTGCCAGCCGCTGTGTTCGGTCTGCAGTTGTTCTGTACTCATTGTGTGTATGCTGTAGGGTTTTGCCTAGAATGCCAAACAGGAAGTGGTGATAACTCAGGAAACTCCCCAGCTTTCAGCGTTTGCCATTACTTGGGTTTTCATTTGTGAGTAAGCAGGACCATCGGTAGTCCTTATGCCCTCTGCCTCTGTCTGGTGGAAGTTACCTACTCTTGCCTTCTATGGAAACTGCCCATGCCCTGCCCTCCCTCTTTGAAGAAGAATGTTTTCTTTTGGTGGGAGGAGATAGGTGTTGGACTTCTGCACAAGCAGAATTTGTAGATCTTAAGTAAAGGACAAGCAGAAATCATATTGTAATCTCTGACCCCCCATAAAAATATTAAAAAGGGGAAAAAAGACCTAGATGCTCATATAGAGTTGACACTCAATAACTGTGCACACACGTGTTGCCCACCCACATGCTCAGCCTACAAACTCCTCCCTCATCGATACATCACTTACACATGTACCACTTATCGGCCTCACCTACTTACCCGCACAGTGTGGTCCTCAACCCTGGAAATCATTGACATTCACACTGTGCTCCTGGGCCATGGCATCCGTTTACCAGAAGTAAGGGTACCATGATTTCCACATTCTGGGATCTGTAAGACCTCAGATGTAGATGACAGTTCTAGCTTAGTATGTGACCAATAGCACTCTCTGCCTGAAGATGTGCAAAGGAACAGGCCTGAGTGCCTATGGGACAGATGGTAACTAGAAAGCACAGATGTGTTGCATCCCCCAAGAAGAGCAGCTTTTATCCTCACACAAGTCTGAGCCCACAAGGGCGCTAGTCAACTTAGAATTCCAAACATCTGCTGTTGGGAAGATCCTAGATTGGCGGCTCCAGTCATATCCTCTAGACACCCCTCTAGGTGCTTGTTCCTGATTCATCTCTCAGTCCTCATTGTCAGTTACACCAGACCCTCCAAATTCCAGATACTATTGATATGAAGCATCTATAGTAGTAAAATTAATAGAAACAGAAAAAAGAATTGCTCTTTGCCAGTGGCTGGAGGATAAAAAACAGGCATTTATAGTTTAAAGGGTAGTTTATATACTAATTATATACAGTTTATAGAAGGATGATAACTTATAGACAATGATTACAGTTGTACAATGACCTAAATCTAACCAACACTACTAAACTGCACACTTAAAAATGGCCAAAATGAGACCGGAGAGATAGCACTTAGTGCTCTTCCAGAGGACCAGAGTTCAGTTCCCCGCAGCCACATCAGGTGGCTACAGTTTCCTGTAACTCTGGCTCCAGTGGCCCTTATGTCCTCTTGTGGTCTTCACACAGGTACCTACACATATACTCACACAGACACAAAAGCTTAAATAATTTTAAATGTCTTTTTTAAAAAGAAAAAAATAGTTAAAGTAGTAGATTTTATGTTTTATGTATTTTACCACAACAAAATTCTTTCAATTACTTTAAAATACCAAGTAAGATACTAAGCAGGTAGCTGAGTTACATAAAATCAAGAAATATTCTAGGTAGTCAAGAACAAGAACTACTTAAGAAGAGAAAATCTAAATGAAGCTCAAACATTTCTTCTTACAAGAAGCAGAGACAAACCCATGCTAAAAATGAATTATGCCCTGGTGTGCTACTGCTCAACAGAAAACTGCTCCTAGAAGCTCCCAGTCACCGTGGACACTGATCGAGTTTACTTCCCTCCATCCACTCACCGTGTTCCAACATCTGACTCTAAGTACCCAGTAGCTCCTCTCTCTTTCATCTTCCCTGCATTCTGGCTTTGGGAACTTACATCCTAAACTAATACAGTGGACTCTGAATGCCCCTCAGAGGCAGTGTTCATTTTCCCCAGCTGTCACTACTCATAATCCTCCCCAAATGAGCTGCCTTTCCTTTTGTTCAGAAAGATGAACTAAACTCTCTAGCACAAGTCTACACTCACCCGGTTTGACTTGTTGGCCTAATTCTGTGTCCACATCCTAACCAAACTAAATAACTCAAGTGCACCTCAGTGTTCGCAAGTTTTCTGATGTTTGTACTTTGTTCACACTGCATGGCTTCAAGACCATTCCTTCTCTAGTCAGCTCATGCCTAACAAACCCTAGTCATGCTGAAAACCCAGTGCAATCCCTCATTAATTACCAGTGTGCCTCAGAATTCAGGCACCACAAAGCCATGTCCAGATTATTATTATACTATAACTTTCAATTGCTATTTGCATATCCCAAACTCTTACATTCTAGTGGCCCGGCACATACTCATTCTGCGCAGACATGTTTTTCTATAAGCTTACATAACTTGTACTTGTGATTTACAGAAAACTTACTTTTTGTTTTATGCACAAGACCAAAAATTTTTTTGTTTCCTAATAGACTCTCTATGACCTGCGACTGTGCATTGCTCTCCTTTGTTTTTTTTTTTCAAAGCCCAACCCAAAACAAGCAATTTCAAATGTTCTTGGATCATTCATAAAATAAGTTTGCTCCTAGAAACCATCAAATTAGCTCCATTCTACCCTATTTTTCCTACAAAGCATCTACAACAAGCTTACAGAAAATAATACACAGCATAATGACATTCACACAGTTAAGGAAAGCTGCAAACAAGTTATTAGATACATTCTGTGTCCCAACATAAAAACACAAATATAGGCAGAGAATTGTTTAATTGAATTGGGAACTGTAGTGACCCATGTGTGATGCACAGGGGTGCTGGGGAACCTCTTTCAGCCAATGGTCTTTGAGATGCTGGAACAGGTTGGGAGTGGCCTTGGGTACTGAAAAGGTGAGCATTGGCATGTCTACTCTATCTCACCTCTCTCACCTGGCGGCTGGATTGGGTTCCTGTTTCCCATTTGTGCAGAGGACTCTGGTCTGTGCGTTCCCCCTAAATAAAGAATTTTTTTTATTATACTCAATTGTGAGTCCCAGTGTCATCTGAGATTACTTTATTTGTGTTTACTTACGTCTGTTGCCCCATGTGGCTACAAGCTTGCATCTACCTGGACCGGCTCATCAATTCCTGCCACTGCCTCCCACCCATGGCAGGCTGTTGCAACCTCTCCAGCTGCCTGTGTTTTCTCCCACCATGATCCCTGCATGGTGTCATGTCCCCTGGCTGTGCACTGGTCCTGTTTGTGGCTTGTCACTGCCGGCAAGTGTTGGGTTTCTTGATATTCTGGCCACCAAAAAGCGCTCTCTGTGTTCACAATCACTTTAATTGTTCTTAATAATTACCCTTAATTTGTTGAGCAAAGCATATTTGTCAGTATTTAAGCAGGCACCAATACAGGAACCAAGAGGGACTGTTCACACAGCTGCTAGTAGTGTCTCTGCACCACATGGCCATAACTGCGACACATGCTGGCCAATATAGATTATTGCAATACAACAATTTACTAAAATCTCCTAATGGAGATTAGTAAATTTACTAAATTAATAAATCTACTAGAGGGGACGTAAGAGATGAGTCAACAGCTACACGGCAGGACAGCTGGACACCCCTTCTCTAGGACCTCTCCAGTGGGACAAACCCAGGTGCCCCTTCCCAACTCCCTTGACTTTTCTAGCCAGCCAACAGGGAGTTTTCCAGAAGAAGCTAGGCTATTCCCCAACCCACCTCTTCCCCAAGCCCGCTTCATGGAACCCTGAAACACAGCTTGCTCCAATACTGAGGGGACCAAAGAGGTGAGTCAACAGCCACAAGGCAAGACACCCGACTCTCTAGGATCTCCCCAGTGGAACAAAAGGTGAAGAGAGAACACTCAAATTAAAAAGATTAAAAATGAAAAGGGGGACATAACCACAGACACAGAGGAAATCCAGAGAATCATTAGATCTTACTATAAAAACCTGTACTCCACAAAATTGGAAAATGTAAAAGAAATGGACATTTTTAAGATGAATATCATATACCAAAATTAAATCAAGATCAGGAGAACAATTTAAATAGACCTATAAGTCTCAAGGAAATAGAAGCTGTTTTCAAAAACCTTCCAACCAAAAAAAGCCCAGGACCAGATGGTTTGAGCGCAGAATTTTACAAGACCTTCCAAAAGAGCTAATACCTATACTCCTTAATGTTTTCCACATAATAGAAACAGAAG